ATAATACCAAAGTATAATACTCACAAGCTCCTGTGTTTCAGGCCCTTCTAACCATCTAAGGCCAAATTCTCTCTTTTTTAGATATTTTTGTTGTTCTTTTATATGTCTAAGTATTTTGTCTGTATCTATGTCTGTGTACAACAAGGATGCAATGTTCAAAGAGGCCAGGAAAACCAAAATCAGCAGTGAGCTTGGTTCTCTGGAGGAACAGCCAGTGCTCTTAACCACTAAGCCACCTCTCCTAAATTTGCTTCCTAACACAAAAACTAATATATCAAAATAGAATTGAGTGAAGAAATAAGTATGAAAATCCAGTTATCTTCTCTTCATCTAAAAAAAAATCTAATTCATTCTCAAAAATGATTTTCATTTAAAAACATTAATTTATACTAACCATAACATGTAAATAATGGACCTACTAATTTTTCCAAATGAAGTAAATTTCAGTTTCTATAATATGGTAAATTTGAGATATACCGCCTACATTACAAAAAAAATCAAAGCTCTGTATAGTGGAACAAGCCTGTAATCCCAGCACTCGAGAGGCAGAAGCAGGTGGAGTAAAGGCAAGCCTGGTCTACATATCAAGTTCCACAGGCGAGGAGGGAGTACATGAGATCTTTTTTTTTTTTTAAGATTTTTTATTTATTTATTATACAGTGTTCTGCCTGCATATATGCCTATAGGCCAGAAGAGGGCACCAGATCTCATTATAGATGGTTGTGAGCCACCATGTGGTTGCTGGGAATTGAACTCAGGACTTCTGGAAGACTAGTCAGTACTCTTAACCTCTGAGCCATCACTCCAGCCCAATAATGAGATCTTGTCTAAAAAAAAAATTATCACCCATCATCATGGCCTAGGGATACAAATCGTGGTAAAATGTCTGACTAGCATGCAAAACTCCCTGGGTATAATCTCTAGTACATACACACACAAATGTCTGACTAGCATGACTCCTTGAGTATAATCTCTAATACATACATACACACACACACACACACACACACACACACACACACACACACACACGCACGCACGCACGCGCACCCCAATAATACTTGGTGAGAAAACTCAAAGAGCTTTCTGGAATGCATGAAGCAATGAAAGGGGAGGTCTGAGAGCAGCTGGCCTGGAGCAGCACTGCCTATCCAGGACACATCTAGCAGGCCTCTAAAGGACAAGGTTCTTGGTATTTCAGGGCCCAAGAGAACTCAGAATTGAAAGTACCCAGTTCTCACAGAGAAGGTGAAAAGTTCAGGGTGTTGGAAATAAAAAAAAAACATCTTTCTCTGTTCTTTACTGGCAGGTCAGGACATCTGGTCCCAAGCTAAAATCCAGGGAGATTCTGGTCAGACAATTCCAAGGTCACAGAGTCTGGTGGGAAGACGAACCCACTCCAGATCTTAAGTGCTGAGCAGACCCTGCAGCAGGCTCACTTCCCACCAGGGAGATTCTGATCAGACAATTCCAAGGTCACAGAGTCTGGTGGGAAGACGAACCCACTCCAGATCTTAAGTGCTGAGCAGACCCTGCAGCAGGCTCACTTCCCACCAGGGACGGCTCTCCACCCACATGGTCACTCCCTTCCTTGGCCATGCCCTCCTGTCTCCCTTCCCATGCTCACCCTCCCTCTCTCTCAGTGCTGTCTCCTCCGAGCTCAGGCTTCTCCCTTGGCTAGAGACACTGCACTCCTCCTCACTGCCACTCTCCCAGAGCAAGCCTCTTCCACGGCAACCACCTCCTCCACTCAAGAGCGCCAGACCTACAAAATGGCTTCCGGGCCCTTCTTCCTGGACATGGTGTGGATGATTCTACTCCAAAATGTAGCTCTAATCTTCCCCTTCACAGCTGTTGCTCTTTGTAGCTCTTAACAGTTTCCTGACCCATGTGGCCACTAAAGGTGGAAACCCAGACCATTCCACTCTAACCCTTGTCCACCTTTCTTCATTCTGCCAGATTTCACATCTTTCTAGGCTCTGCATTCCCACAGTACCAACCATGAAAACCTTCACTATCTCTGGATGGTCATTTTCTCACTGGCTCCTTAGGAGAGACCAGGAGTTAGACACTCCTTGATAGGCAGAAAGATGGCGAATTTCCAAGATGGCCAGCTTCTTCCTCAACCTCCACCCTTGAAAGAAAAAACAACAACAACAACAACAAAAAACTGGGGCTGGAGAGATGGCTCTGCGGTTAAGAGCACTGACTGCTCTTCCAGAGGACCTGAGTTCAATTCCCACCACCTACATGATGGCTCACAACCATCTGTAATGAGATCTGGTGCCCTCTTCTGGCCGGCAGGGACACATGCAGGCAGAATACTGCATACATAATAAATAAATCTTAAAAAAAAAAAATTGACATGCCCCCTGCTGATGGACTGGCTCAACAAATTCAAGGTCTAATCAGGACATGTCACACCACTGTCAACCCTAAAATAGGGGAGGACTCTCCAGAGGCTTTAAAATCCCCAGGCCTTGAGAAAAGACTAGATTTTTGGCTTTCCAAGTCCCCTCTCTGTTTTGCAGAGGATTTTTTCTCTGTGTGTCTGGTTGTGCATGTTTCCTCCCCCCCCCCCCCAATAATTTAACTGATAAGTCTTTTTGTGGCTCTTGAGATCTGACTGTTTCCTCACCCCCCAATAATTTAACGGATAGTCTTTTTGTGGAGCTTGAGATCTCTCTGCTGCTACTTGTTGCGATTAAGATTTTTCCTGCCTTTTAATTCTTTAACTGGCAGAAAAAATAAACTAATCAAGACCCCTAAGCTGTATCATTTCTAGACTGTGGTGTCACTTGGCTCTAGTCTGAAATCCTTAATCAACCTACCCACCGGCCCTTCTGTACTCTTAGACACAAACCTGACGTTATTTTCCTGCTTTTTTATCTTTACATGGAAAAATATACTCATAATTTTACTCATTTCTTTCCATAAGAATTTTTTTGTTTTGTTTTTTTGAGACAGGGTTTCTCTGTGTAGTTTTGGTGCCCTGTCCTGGATCTCGATCTGTAGACCAGGCTGGCCTCGAACTCACAGAGATCCACCTGCCTCTGCCTCCCAAGTGCTGAGATTTAGGGCATGAGCCACCACCTCCCTCCCCGGCCCCATAAGAATTTTTTAAATTGTGTATTCCAAGCCAGACACAGTAACTCACACCCATAATTACAACACTAGAGTTCAAGATCACCCTGAACTATAGAGAATGAGTTCAAAGCTAGCCTGGGCTACTTAGTTGAACCCCTCCCCCCTTTAAGAAACATCCAGGACTACTTAAGAGACCCTATCTCAAAAACACCCTCCCCCGCAAAAAAAAAAAAAAAAAAAAGAAAGAAATCACAGCTAGGCAGTGGTGGCACAGCCTTTAATTCTAGCACGCCAGAGGCAGAGGCAGGTGGATCTCTGAGTTCAAGGCCAGCCTGGTCTACAGAGCAAGTTCCAAGATAGCTCTCAATGAATGAAAGAAAGAAAGAAAAAAAGAAAAGGTCTAGTCACATTTAACTGCTGTATTTTTCTGAATTCAGAATACCCACAAAAAACGAACAATCTGCACAGCCAGTAATGTATATTAGGGAAAGACAGGAGGGAACTTACCAGGGTTTAGAAGGTAGCTTAATTACCAGAGGCTTTCCTGTAATCAGCATCTCCAAAGCATTCTTAGTTTGGCATTTAAGAAAAAAATTTCTTTTGCTTTCTCATATAAATTTGCAATATGTGAAAGATACATTCCCTCCCTTTCCTTTTAGGACCCTCTTAGAAAAGAGTTACCTAGAAACTGTTAAGTCAGGAAATGGATTCATTTAAACTTATAATGTGAAGTCTTAGGCCCTAATAAGCCCAGCTCAAAACCCACCGATCTGGAGGATACAGTTCTAATGCAGCAAAACCCCCCAAACCGTTTGTGATCCCTATGAACATTCCTCTTGCCATCTGTTATAGAAATGGCCCACAACAAACAACTCCACGCGGCTCTTTTCAAGCCTTGCTCTATCTTTTTCTAAAGCTACTTTGTAACTTGAATGTCTTCCCACCTCTTATTCCCAGAGAATATTTGATAACTTTTAAGGCCAGGCTTAAGAGTCCAAGTCAGTAAGTAGCCAGTAACATTCCCGGCAACAAAGGGGACAGTTTTATGCAAATAATCCCCGTATTTACTGCAACAGATGAAAGCATAGGATCCGATGATGTCTTCTCTCAAAGGGTCCTCCAGATTATTGCAGATTGGCCAAATGAACAAGCGCTGAAATAAAGTAAGAGATTTGGAATATCCAACATGACTCCATAAAGGATGGGTTTCAAAAAAGGATTAAAACATTTCCAAGATTCAGAATTGGAACGTAAAGACTGGAGGTGGGGTGACGTATTTTTCCGAACAGGTCTCGGTTAAGTGCCCCATTTCTATCACAGCACATACCACACAGTATGGCAAATACTTGATTAAAAATCCCCCGTTCTGTAAACTCTTGAAAGCATGTTTGTCTTGCTCGCCAATGTACCCTCCCTAGGACCTTTCATAGTGTGGCTTCGCTCATTACCTACTTGTCCATGTTTATAAAAACTGTTTGTAAATGATTAAATGAAGAAATGGCTAGATAAATGAGTTAAATTACATAGGATCACAGCTCCTCCTTGGACTCTAGGGGAGTGCTGACGGATAACTCCGAGTGGGGTCGAGGAAAAGCAGGCCTTCAGAAGAGCCTGGTCTCCAACCCAAGCCAGAATTTAAACCGCAGCGCGGCGGGAAAGACGACCCGCTGGAGCCAGGACCGAGTAGGCTGCGGGGCTCGGGCCGCCCGAGAAGCCAACTAAGTTCTCCCCGCGTGGCGGCTGCCGAGGAGGGCTCGGGAGCGGGCCGGGGAGGAGGCCGCGGTGCCGGCCTCACCGGAGAATGGCCAAGTGGCGGACCGGAAGCGGGGCTGGGGGCCCGTGCCAAAGGCCGGGGCCGAGGCAAGCGGGAGCGGCCGGCCGGGGTGGGGCCCCAGCTCCGCGGCCACACTCACCTAGGGTACCCTCCTCCACCACGGCTGGGCGCCGGCTCCGCGCTGCTTCCTCGCTGCGCCTGCTGGGCGAGCGGGCGACCTCAGGTGTCCCTAGCAACCACGCTCGGCCACGCGACCCGCACTCCGCCGCCGACGCCGCCGGCCGTCTGCCGCGCACTGCGCGCGCCCCTAGCGGACAGACCGAAGGCCAGGAAGGGGCGGGAAGGGGGCGGGCCCGAGGCAGGCGCGCCGAATCCGAGCGCTTTATGCTGCCTAGAGAATGGACGGGAGAGGGGGGTGGGGGGGAGGTTTAAAAAAAAAAAAAAAGTGCAAGAGAGTTGCGCACGCGCAGCCTTGGTGGCACTTTGGAACTCTGCGAGCGGAATTCTGGGAACTGTAGTCCTGCAGTTAAAGGCTCCGTTCTGGGAATCCACGACTCAATTCATTCTACCTAACCACTATGGACCATGCCGCGCCCAGACTCTATTAAAGAATTTCCACTAAAATTCCATGAGTTTGAGTCAGCTTAGAAGAGGTAGCTCAAGCCACTTTGACTCCCTCCCACTCACCTTTCTCTAAATTCAACCATGTAGCGGGACAGGACTAATCGGGGACATAACTACAACTACCTACCGGCTCTGTGGGCTTCAAGGGAGGACTTGAAGAACTTTGAGTCCCTTCATTCTCACCCCACACAGAAGAGATCTGCCGCCTGTTTCAGATGTCATTGGACCTATTGAATTTTGAGAACTACAGAGACAGTTGGAGGGCAATGGATCTTTCTCAGAGAGCAAGCTACAGAAATTTAGAGAATCATCAATGAGAAGATGAACCTGATGGAAATAATTTAGACCACAACAAGGACGCTCAACAAAATATTTAGGCGTCATTGGTGGATGGTAAACTATTAAAGGATTACTTGGCCAATCTTAGATCAGGAAAGCTAGGACAGTCGTCCAGTTTGTCTCCTGGTGTGATTTAGATTACACAGCAGTATTTATGAAGTCCAACATATTTTATAAAGCGTTAAATTTTAACAGAATTTAATTTTAAAAATTGAATCTGAATCCAATCAAGCATTGGCTGTAATTTCCAGTATAGAGGATATAAAGAAAAACAATTGAATAATGTTATAGTCAGATCCATACAGAATTTGAGCCAATATGCAGTATGAATGAACTTTCTTCGACAAAATGGAAGAGCTGCGACTAGAAGAAAAACCTCGTGGTTAAGAGCACACTACCCTTCCAGAATACTTGAGTTCCATTCCCAGGACCCATGTTGTATGGTGCGCAACTGCGATAACTCCAACTCCATGGCATCTGTCATCCTCCTCTGATGGCTGAGGACACCTGCAGTCACTTGGACATAACCACCTGTGCCACACACACACACACTCACACACACACACACACACACACACACACACACACATACACACACAAACATAAATAATGGGGGGGAGATTTCAAGACAGGGTTTCTCTATGTAACAGTCCTGACTGTCCTGGAACTCAATTTGTAGGCTAGGCTGGCCTCAAACTCACAGAGATCTGTCTGCCTCTGCCTCCCAAGTGCTGGGATTCAAAGTGTGTGCCACCACCACCTGGAAAATATTTTTTTTAAGAAAGAAGTGTTTTAGATGATAATATGTAAGAGGTCAGGTCAGCTAGATGGCTCAGCAGATAAAGATGCTTACCGCCAACCCTGAAGATCTAAGTTCGAGCCTTAGGACTACTTGGTGGAAAGAGAGAACAAATTTCACAAAGTCCTCCTCTAACCTCCACGACTGACACGTTTGTAGTAACTTCTTATGAAAGCCACAGGAAACCAAACCAAGTGTTTTGACTTTTAGTGATTTAGGAGGTATTCTTGTTTTCTGGGAAGCATAGATGTTATAATGTTAGTGGTTTGCTATTGTTTTAAAATACTGCAGGAAGGGTAGGGGAGGTGATTCAGTCAGTAAAGTGTTTGGTGAACAAGTATGAAAAACTAAGTTCACACCACGAGGTGGTGGCGGCACCCGGGAGGCAGAAGCAGGCAGATCTCTGTGTCCTAGGCCAACCTGGTCTACAGAGTGAGTTCCAGGACAGGCAAGGCTATACAGAGAGACCCTGTCTTAGATCCCTTATTCCCCGAAAAAGAAAACAAAGCTCATATCCCCAGCACCCACATAAAAAGCTGGGCACAGTTGTGCAGGCCTGTAATCCCAGTGCTTGGAAGGTAGAGACAGGAGGATCCCTTCTACTTGCTGGCCAGTCCATTTAGCTTATTGGTGGACTCTGAGTTCAGTGACAGACAGTATCTCAAAAATTAAGATTGAGAGTGATTGAGGAAGCCACTCCACATTAACTCCCTCTGTACATAAACATGTACATGCATAAAAAATGTAAGTAACCAAATAAATGCTATAGGAAGATCAAGGGTATGACCTTACCTAGAGAGAATGCTTACCTAGGGAGTATGCACACGGTTATGGATTCAGTTCCCATCACAAAAACCAAACAGCTGGACATGGTAGAATACACTTTTAATCCCAGCACTCTAGAGGCAGAGGTAGTTGGTCTCTACCAGTTCAAGGCTAGTCTGATGGAAATAAAGAATTCCAGGCCAGCCAGAACTACATAGTGAGACTATCTCATTAAGTAAGTTAATACATAAATAACCAAAAGAACAAGAGTAAGAAACCCCAACACCTACAGAAAACACACCTTAGTAGTAAGGAATACAGTTATGATCCAGGTCTGTCTGTCTGCCTTCCTTTCTTTTCCTTCCTTCCTTCCTTCCTTCCTTCCTTCCTTCCTTCCTTTCTTTCTTTCTTTCTTCTTTCTTGTCTGGTTTGGTTTTTGAGACAGGGTTTCTCTGGGTAGCTCTGATTGTCCTGGAGCTCACTCTGTAGCCCCGGCTGGCCTTGAACTCAGAGATCTGCCTGCCTCTGCCTCCCAAGTGCTGGGATTAAAGGTGTATGCCACTATAGCATGCCACCACTGCGAGCCCAGCCAGGTCTTAGTTCCTAATACATTTTTCCATGAAAGAGAACCAAGCATCTTTGGAAAAGAGATTGATTCTAGGCTTCAGCAGAAAATATACGAGCCTGGAGTCTCTTGTCATCAGCGAAGGAAGCCTTGCATATAGCCACATGCACACATAACCTCCCACAATGGTAGGAAAGAAGTGTGTCACTGGAATTAATTGAAAGAGCTCCCAACAGACAAGGCTGAAACAAATTAAGAACAAAGTAAAGAAATACTATTTCCTAACCCAAATAACGATGTGTCCTTGGAATCTTTTGGTACCTTAATAGAAAGGACAAATCTGGAGAAGAAATCTAAGTATGTAGACACTCTATAGCAGAGGGAGGGGGGTACTGCCTCTACTTAATTATGAGTAATGCCTGTGTGAGGCAAAGAGAGTTATTTACAATGGAGAAATCCTACAAACAGAGCAAGATATGGTGCTGTATACTTATAATCTCAGCACACGGGAGACTGAGGTGGAAGGACTGTCTGAGGCCAACCTGGGCTGCGTGGTGAGTTCCATGCTGGCCAGAGCTACAGATGAGACCAAGTCTTAAAAAATAAAACCATGCCAAACACTTCCGCTGGTTGACCAAGGTCAGCATCAAGCCATGAATCATGCTCATAGCATGTACTTTGGGTATGTGGGCACCTTGCGTCTGCTGTCATAGGTGGCACTGGCTCTGGTTTGTGCGTGTGTATTTACGTGGGAGTGAAAGTAGGCATCGGTGATGACATTTAGAAAGGGGATGTGATGGATCTCGATTGTCAACTCGACTGGAATCAGAAATCAACTAAAGTCCCTTTGCGGTCCTGTGAGGGACTTTCTTGACCAGATTACTTGAATCGTGAAGACCGTCCTGAATGGGGGGCAGCTCAGATAAAAGGCCTCGGAAGAAGGAAACGTTTGCCTTTTTCCTGCTCGTCTCCACTCTTGCTGGAAAGTTCGAGCATCCTGTCATTACTGAACTCTTTCACTGATATTAAAACGAGCTTCTTTGGGCTTCCAGTGTAGACTAGAGACCAACAGCTCTCCAAGAATATTCTAGATCTTCAACACCAGATTAGGACTGCTGAGACATTCAGCCTCATGACTGAACAACTACGGGCTTTCAGGTTCTCTACCGTGAGGCAGCCATTGTTAAACTACCCAGACCATATTGTGTAAGCCAATGTAGTAAGTCCCCTTTTGATACATACGTTCATGCTGTCAGCTCTGTTCCTTTACAGCAGTGGTTCTCAGCCTTCCTAATGCTGGGACCCTTTAATACAATGATTCGTGTTGTGGTGACCCCTCAACCATGAAATTATTTTGGTTGCTACTTCATAACTGTAATTTTGCTACTGTTGTGAATCATAATGTAAAATATCTGATATATAGGACATCTGATGTGTGACCCCTGGGAAAGGGTCGTGTGACCCCCAAATGGACCTAGCCCCACAGGTTGAGAACCACGCCTTAGAGAATACTGACTGCTCCAGGAACCGAAAAAGAGCAAAAAGAGGTCTTAAGGAGGAGGGTGGAAAGGGTAATAGAACACGTGAGACATGAAAGCAGACAGGGGAACCATTGGAGATGGAAGGCTACAGGGCGTGGGATGGGAGAGAGGTCAGGAGAGAGAGCAACCAGAACAAGGCATGAAAATACCATAAATGCAACCTGCTGCTCTGTATGATAATTAAATATGCAAATTTAAGTCAGGCAAAAAGGTACACACCTGTTCAGGAGACTGAGGCCACAAAATGCTTGAGTCCAGGTGTTTGAGCCCTGATATTAAAAAAAAAAAAAATACCCACTCACTCAGGCTGGAGAAAGGGCTCATGGGTCATGAAAGGCTCTTTGGACTGGACTCACTCACATCAGACAGCTCACAACTGCCCGTAACTCCAGCCCAGAGTTACAGCCCAGATGCCCACCTCTGGTCTCCTCAGGCACTCACATGAACATACCCACACACAGACACATGAATAATTACAAATAGTAAAATCTTGTTAAAAGAACACTTTCGTTTCCTTTTTTTTTTTTTTTTTTAAATAACACTTTATTTTCCTCTGTTGCTATGATTTGAGATAGGGTTTCTCTGTGTAGCCCTGGCTCTCCTAGAACTCCCTCTGTAGACCAGGCTGGCCTCAAACTCAGAGATCCACCTGCCTCAGCCTCCA